TTCTCTTCCAGGGCACAAGTGACACTGGTTGATGTGGGTATTATGGAAGGGAGTTTGGCCCTGTTAGACAAACTGGTTCAGCATACACCATTTACTCCACGCCATGTGTTTCTCCTGTGGGGGTCAGAACACGGCAGATGTCGACCAGGAGGCTAGCATACAACGTTAATGAATACGGTGAAGGCAAATCTTCTTTCAGAGATGAATGTTTTTTCCACGATGCAGCAACCGGTACCTAATAACAAGTGTTGAAAGGCTGCGTCTATAACGTGCATTACAAACCAGTGATTTTCTGCTTAAGCAAACAGTTCAAGGCGATTTTCTTTACAAACACGCTACACACATTTTCCTAGTGAGGTGTCGCTGCGCAAGTCAGTCGCTTTTAACATTTGACAAATTTAGTTTTCCTAAGGCGTAACTTTGCTGTATTTCTCAATCCGCCAAAGCAGCATAGTTTCTTTTTCGCAAATGGTGTCTGATTTGCTTGATGAGGTCACGTCTTTCACTGTATTTTAGCGCCTGCTGTGCACGGCTCTTATGTTTAGTCGATTGGTTAGGATCATAATTTTGTCATCACCAATGACGTTGCAAAGGTCTGCTTTTCTCAGACCCACTGCAGCAACGTTATGAAATGGACTAATTCCTGAGCAGCATGCTAATAAGCCTCATTCGAGTTTCAAATCCGGATTCTTTGAACTTTATTTCGTTGAACAAAATTGTTTGTTTTGAGTCTTCTGTATTTCATCAAACTAGTGTGAATGACAGACTGAAATTCGAACTTTTAGAGTCTTATCGAACAGCAGTGCAACGGAACACTGGGTACTATGGACAAGAAGCTTAGCCAGACGCTTTCCCTGAAGGAAAAGCACATCAAACGCTTTATTCTGGTAAAATCTTGCAATTATTCTGACCGTTGAAATGCTATTAGTCTTTTGCATTTTATATACTTCCGTTTGGTCCTTGTTGTGTTTGGCTGAGAGGGTGGCAACTTCACAGAGCATGCCTTATCTTAGTTTATTGGCCATGTTAAAGTGCGAGTAAACCGATAACCGTGATATGTTCAGCAGTGATCGCAAACTCCCTGCTTCGCAACTGCTTGTTAAGCTGTTCAAATATCAAAATTCTTAAAAATGCTTGTCTGAGTTCGACAAAAGTTGAGTCACTTTCCATGGACACTGGTCCTTTGTGGCCACGAAGGCAGATGCTTCAGACAGTGTTTTCAACGTCCTTGATCACGAATCCTCGTTTCAGCTTCAGCAGAAAAGAACCCCGGTCAGAGACATGGTCTATCGAAACACCTGCTCCGTGTCATTTTAACCTCTCCCTGGGTGTTTCGCCTGTCAGTTGACCAAATGGTACCTGCTTCGCCTTCCATTGCAGCCGCAACCTCTAAACCTGGAGAAGCAATGGCTCTACACCAACGCTCTTTCGGATATCGAGTATAACTCCGGATCAGCAGTCAGATTCGTCTAAAAAAAAACTCATTTAAGCCGCTTGTATCCTGGTTGGAAGTTTTATAGTCATGGCCAACGACTCATGATCGTAGGTAAGCATGGGGATGATTGTCGACTTGAACACCGACAGCATATCTTCAGACTCAGCTCTGCTTTAGTCACAGCGGTTCAGGTTCGT